AGGAGGCTGGGCTCCCTCCCGCCCCCGGATGAGGTTGGCATTGGCTTACTGAGTAGATGGTGAAGGTGGGAGAGCATGATTTCATCACAGGAAGTAGCCTTGTCTTCTGGAGGTGGCAGCAGGCAGACTGACTTCCTTTCTCCTTTTGTTTCTTCCTCAAACCTCATAGTTATTTCCCACGCTTCTCCCTGGGCCAGCCAGGCAGCCCCTGCCCTTTCCCTGTGTCTGTGTTTCTTACACTTCCTCCCAGGCTCGAGAAGAGAAGTTCTGCATTTTCATGGGATCCCCTTATCTGAGCCAGGCCTTAAACATCCATTGGGTCATTTTCAGCTTTACAACATTGTGTGCTGGACGTATTTTCACCAACAGGAAACTGAGGCGCTGTCAAGAAACTGAGCTTTAATGTCGTGGACTCCTCTGGGCTGTGGAAGGTGCTTGGGCGAATGGTAACTGCTGGAAAGGTGGACAGAAGACAGGACAAGGGACCAACTGCCTTTTTGATAGCTCCTCTAGAGGGTAGCCTGCCCTGTCTGAGGGGTGACACCTGAGTTCCATTCTTACCTTGTCTCACTAGCTGTGGGACCTGGCTGGGCAGTCTTCTCTTTGCCAGGCCACCCAAGGAGGGGGCTGGACCCCACTAGGGGGTGTCCCAGCCCATTCCGTTGGGCAGCATGGCATGTTTACTAAATACGAATGTTTACTAGATTAACTTTGGCAGAGTACCTGCTGTCCAGGTGTTTCAGGCTCCACTGCTCCCACATATGGTCTCCCTAGATGCAAACTGCACATTTCATGTCCTGTTCAGGCCCCTGGACCCAGCTGGATCCCCATGATGTCTGGAATTGTGAGGTGTGATTTTCTGCTCACAGATGGTGTGTGGTCTATGCTCATCCTCACTTCTCCCAACAGCAATGAGAGGGCCCACTGATCAGCCTTGAGCTGTGGCTCTCACAGAGGGGGCTTCTGGTGGGAGAAGGGTCTGGAGTTTCATGATTCATAGATGGGCAGAACCTAAATGCAGCTCTTTAGCCCAGAGGGTGGCCATGGGGGAGGGGTCAGAAGTGCTTGCTCAGGAGCAGAGACATAATGAGGGCTATGAGCTGTGGACCACATTTTGTGAATACCACCTTAGATCTTCTCAAGTTCTCCTAAGCTTCTGTTCTCCCTTCCTCATTGGCCACATCCATCACTACCTTTCCCCCTCCACGGTACCTCACCTTGCTCCTGCTTTCCCCCCAAGACCAGGAGTAAGGCAAAGATATCTGCTCTCACTACCTCCATTTATTATGATGGCAGTTCTAGCCCCTGCAATAAGGCAAGACAAAGAAATAAAAGTGTTCTGTGTTTTCTTAGATACTGTATTTATGTATTTGGCATTCATTTATCACAGGGCAATTGTATTAACTATTTTTTTTTTTTAATTTTCTGCATTCTTGATGCTCAGGCACTTGTGGCCTGGCTGACTGGGGAGAGATGGCCCCTCCCAAGGCTAGCCTATTCTTAGATAGAGCAAAGGCATTCCTAGGAGCATGCCTTTCCTATGCAAACTAACCAATCCAGGGCCCGTACTCTAAACCACCTCCTCTATCTAACTCTCACCTACCACGCCAATATTTCCTCTGCCCTGAGTCAACCCTGTGCCAGGTGCCAGACAACGAGAGACAGTTGTAACCTGTAACCCAAAGCCCACCGGAATTAATCAAACTAGCCAATCCTAAGCTGTTTCCCTTTCCTTGCTTGTCTTGCCAGGGGAAAACACACTAAAGGTGTGGTCTGTGCCTTCCCCTTGGTCTTGCCTCTTCCTCCTCTACTGCTTCCCCAGGTGGCTGGCCCTCTACGGCACGGCATGGCCTTTTCCTTCTCTGCAGGAAACGTAAGTTACAAAAACCTTCCTTCAGTGTCATTACCCTCTCTGTGTCATCACTCAGTCACCTGTATACATTAAAACGCTGTGAGAATAAGAATTGAGCCAAAAGCCATCCAGATTGGAAAGAAAGAAAAACTCTTCGTTTACAGATGACTTGATTGTTTACATAGAAGATCCAATGGAATCGACAAAAAAAGCTACTAGAGCTGTACCTGATTTAAACACGGTCACAGGATACAAGAGCAATACCTGAAAATCAATTGTTTTTCTATATACTAATGACAAAAAATGGAAGTCAAATGAAAATGGTACCACTTACAATAGCTTCAAAATATGAAATACTTAGAAATAAATACAACAGATGTGCAAGATCTGAACACGAAAACTATAAAACATTACTGGGAGAAATTAAAGATTAATGAATGGAGATTTCATACGTATGTATGAGTAGTGTTCAATACTGCTCAGATGTCAGTTCTCCCCAAATTAACATGTAGATATAACACAATCTCAACCAAATCCCAGTAGGCTATTTTGTAGAAATTGGCAAGCCAATTCTAAAATTCCTGTAGAAATTCAAAGTACTTAGAATGGCTAAAAACTGAAATTGAAGAACAGAGTTGGAGGATTTACACTACCTGCCTTTAAGACTTACTATAAAGCTACTGTAATCAAGATGTATTGGTGTCAAGACAGATAAATAGATCAATGGAACAGAACGGAGTACAGAAAGAGACTCACAATTACGTGGTCAATTTATTTCTAACAAAGACGCAAAGGCAATTCAGTGGAGAAATCACAGTCTTTTGAACAACTGGAAATTTCGATTAAAAAAATGAACTTGAATTCATATTTTGCACTACCTACAAAAATTAACTCAAAATGAATCATCAGCCTAAATGTAAGTCCTAAAATTAATTAAGTCAGGGGAAAAAAAACAACAAAAAACCAGGGCCCCTGGGTAGCTCAGTCGTTCAGCATCTGCCTTCAGCTGAAGTCATGATTCCGGGATCCTGGGATCGAGCCCCGCATCAGGCTCCTTACTCAGCAGGAAGCCTGCTTCTCCCTCTCACACTCCCCCTGCTTTGTTCCCTCTCTCATTGTGTCTCTCTCTGTCAAATAAACAAATAAAACCTTAGAAGAAAAAAACAGGAGAAAACCTTTGAGACTTTGGCTTAGGCAAAGATTTCTTAGATTCAACACCAAAAGCATTAAAGAAAATATTGACAAATTGGAGCCCCTCAGAATGAAATCTGTTCTTCAAAAGATACCATCAAGAAAATGAAAGGAGAAGCTACAGACTGGGAGACAATATTGGCAAATCACATAACTGACAAAGGATTTGTATCCCAAATATACAAAGAACCCTCAAAATTTGTGAAAAAAAATCCCAATTGAAAATACGAGCTAAAGATTTGAAGAGATACTTTGTCAAAGAAAGACATACAGTTCACAACCACATGAAAAGATGTGTAAGAGCATTAGTCATTAGGGAAATGTGAATGCAAACCACAGTGAGATCACATTGTATATCTGTTAAATGGCTCAAATTGAAAGACCAGCCATTCTGACTGTTGGCAAGGAAGTGAAGCCACTGGAAATGTCCTACACTGCTGGTGGGAATGTACAGAGGGGCATTCATTTGCGCCATTCCTTAAAAAGTTAAACACGTATCTACTACAGGCATACACACACGTACCTCATATCACAGTGTGGACCAGCCGCAAGTGGGAACCTGTGAAAAGGAAAAGTCTCAGGCCCCACTCCAAGCTGTTGAAGTTTGAGAACCACTGCCCTGGGGCAAGGACACGGACTTTGAGGACCTGTCTTGTCTGCTACCTTTCCTTTTCAGGGCAATCCTGTGAGAAGAAGGAATTTTATTCCCACCCAACAAAGGAAGAAACAAAGGCTCAGAGGGATCACCTCACTCACTCCAGTTCCCTCCACCAGGCAGGTCTAGAGTCTGGACAATGCTCAGGTCTGTGTGCCTTGTGAGCTTGGTGCTTTCCCAAATGATTGTCCTTCTTCCCAGCTCCCCCAGCAGCCTAACTTCCCCCACCTTCTCTCTCCTCCCACGGCCTTTCCTATGAAGGCCATTTGTCAGTGCTGCTTTCATCCGGCCACTGGTCAAGTTCTGGGGAAAGAACGGCAGCAGGGATGAGAGTGTGAGGAGGGGCAGGCCATGGAGGTATGGGAAGATGAGAAGGAGGGGAAACGGGGGGCCAGATCTTGGTCTCTTTTCTTCCCCATGTCTGCTTGCGGGCCACGCTGACATCAACACTCTGTTTACTTCCTCTTCTTTTCCATTGGGGGAGGGAGGACGGGCCCAGAGAGGGTTTGTCCTGCCCTGGCTGGGGGCAGGCACGCAGTGAGCCCTCCAGAAATGAGAGCCCAGCTGGGAAGGGAAGACTCCCCCATGTGAAACAAGTAGAAGGAGGCCCCAAAGTTAATGTTGGAACAGGTGGAGATGACACCTTCCACTTCCTGGGTGCTGGGTGTTTTGCTGATTTGCTGTATTCTTGATGCTTTGACATCTGGGGCCTCACTGAGCAGGGAGCGACTGCCCCTTGCAGTGTTAACCAGCTCCTGGAGATAGGAAAGACATGCCCAGGAGAACGCCTTTCTTTTTATTTTATTTATTTTTTAAGATTTTATTTATTTAAGAGAGAGAGAGATAGTGAGTGAGAGCATGAGCGGGGAGAGGGAGAAGCAGGCCCCCCACCAAAAAGGGACCCCGATGGGGGGCTCGATCTCAGGACCCTGGGATCATGACCTGAGCTGAAGGCAGATGCCCAACCGACTGAGTCACCCAGGTGCCCCAGGAGCATGCCTTTCATATGCACACCAACCAGTCCAGAGCCCACACTCCAAACCACCTCCTCTATCTGATGCTCAAGGAGGGCAATATTCCTCTACCCCATTCCCCCCAGGGCAGCCCCTCATCCTCAGTACCTGCTGAAATTATTCCCACTGGTCAGTCCTAAGCCTGCTTATTCTGCTTTGCCTTGTCTTTTCCACAGACACTATGATAAAGTCTCCAGCCCCTGTTTTCCCTTCACTTCCTCAGCCTCCTGACCAACCTTGGTGCCTCCCGACATGGCCCCGCTCAGAATTCTGTGCCTCCTCTTTCTAGAGGTCTGTGAGTATAAATTTGTATTTCACGACAGTCATTTCTGCATCTTTGTGTCTTACCATACCCGATGCGAACAAATCCAAATGCAGTTTTATTTATTTTTAATTTTTTTGTTGTTTTTATTATGCACTACGTTAATACACTGCATAACCTTCTAGAAGGGATAGATGAGTACGACCGAGTTATTTTTCATCCGTCAGGAAAATTCTTCCTTAATCCATATTCTGCAAACCCTTTGACACATAGTAACGATTAACTCCAGAGACCCGCCTATCCCTTTGCATCAAACTCCACTGATAACAGGCAACCCTTTTTCCCTTGCCCCCATTACTGAACCTGTGGATGTGCGCTGTGGCCATGCCGGGGAGGACCAAGCACACGGCCATGATGCCGATCCCGGGCAGGATCTCGAACCTCATCGCAGCGCGGTTGCCAGGGCCAAACCTGCCTTCCTGGCCCGGTAAAGGTGACCCGGCCTCGGCCCCCTTCCCTATAATTATATTTTAAAACAGTAGTTAAGTCTCCCCAAGCCCCAGGAGGTAGGCAGGGTCTGTTACGGTCCTCATTTCACAAGAGGAGACTGAGGTCCCGTGGGAGGTTATGAACATCACTTAAGGTCACATTGCCAGTAAATGTCTGCTGTGGTGTGGGGTCTGTGCTGTGCACGGTGACATTTTCCCCTCGCAGTGACAGAAATCAACAGTCCCCTGACCCACATTACAGCCGGGGTTCCCTTTTCTGGGTTGTCTTCCTGCTACACAGGGAGATGCTTAAGGACAGACGGGCTCATGGAGCTTTGGGTCCCTGTCACCGGCTTCATGCACAGGGCAGTCAAGGCTGACTGGTGTGGATGGAGAGAAGACAGAGAGGTCTTCGTCTTTAAAGGGTGGGCGTCAGGCGATGAGGATCCATGTAGCTTTCCAGGCAGTGTGCAGTGTTTTCTGTGTTGCTCATTCTGTCCCCACTCAGACCCTCTAAGGGAGGTGGCTATTATCCCCACTTGACAGATGAGAAAATGGGCTCGGGGAAGGGAAGGCATTTGCCCAGCTGTCTGAGCCAGAGCCTACCTTCTGTGGAGTCGGCCTCTGTCACATTCGCACATTTCATGTGTGTCGTGTGACCGAGACTTCCTCACCTGTCAGCCTCCTCCTCACGGCCCCTGGCTGCATTCCAGCTCCTGACCAACCTGACACGTGCAGACTGAGCTTCTAGATGAGCGCAGAGGGCAGAGACCTGGGAGGCAGGGACTGACCCCTGACCTTGCTGCGTTCCCAGCTGGGAGGAGAGAAAGGATGCTCACAGAGGAGACCGTTGTCCACCCTTGCCCTCAGAGCAGTGGAGGGTTGTAAATGTTGAACAAACAGCTCTCCAGAAAAGAAGCCCCGATTCATAGCATTTGCCCATTTCCACGGTGTAAAAACTCCCACAGTACTGAGTTAACTACTACTGTGTGGACCAAATGTTTTTGTCCCCACTCCACCCCCAAATTTACATGTTGAAGCCCTAACCCCCAGTGTGGCTATAGTCAGAGATGGCGCCCCTAAGGAAATAATGAAGGTTAAAGGAGTCATGGGGTTGGGGAGCCGATCCTATAGGATCAGGGTCCTTATCGAAAGTGACAGCAGAGTGCTTTTCTCTCTCTTTTTTTCTCTCTCTCTCTCCAAGTGCACAGTCTGAGGGAAGGCCTTGTGAACACATAGCAAGAGGGCACCACGTACAAGCCACAGGCCATGACCTCAGAATGCAACCTTGATCTTGGATTTCCTGGACTCCGGAACTGACAGAAATTCCTGTTGTTTAAGCCACCAGGTCTGTGACACTTCATTATGGCAGCCCGAGAAGACTACTCCCACTCCCAATGTGAAGTCGCTGAATTTGAGTCCAGAAGAAATGCACAGCAGCAGTATGTCTTTCCCACTGTAGGACACAATAGCATGAATAACCTCAAGAGCATAGATCATAGTAATATGTGGTAAAATTAGAGAGGGATGAGCTTCCTTCTTTTTAAATATAATTTATTGTGAGTTTATATTTTTTCTTGATTATAATTTTTTATTGATAATGCTTACCTGACAAAATTTACCATTTTTAAGTATGCAGTTCAATGGCATTAGGCGTTGTGCACAAACTTAAATTTTAATAATGGCTGTGTTGAAAAAGGGCTCACCACATTCTCCAAAATGTAACAGTCAGCTCCAGCACACTTCCCTCTGTGGGATTCCTGGGTTGTCATTAGGTGACAGCAAATTTAGAAGAAAAAGCCATGAAATGAATTTGCTTAAATGCATTTCACAAAATTCTAACTTAAGATGAATTAGGATTGACACATAAGTCCCCTTCCTCTTTTTTTCCTTCCTTTATTTGTAAAATGGTTTTAGTAATCTGAGCTGAGCATGTGCCCTCAAGGAAACTGGCAAGTGGATCTCAGCTGAGGTGGGGCTGCAGTTCATGTTAGCCCCAAAACTCCATGTCACTGCATGTCACCGGCCATGGTATTTATGTGGTTTGGTTTGAAACAGCAGATGTATATTCTCTCACCATTCTGGAGGCCAGAGGTCCAAACACTCAAGGTGTCAGCAGGGTCGTGCCCCCTCGGAAGGCTCTCAGGGAGGGTCCTTCCCACCTCTCCCAGCTTCTGGAGCTCACAGGGGTCTCCCGGGTCCTTGGCCGGTTGGCACCTGGCAGTCCCTCCTTCCCGTGTCTGCCTTTCAGCGTGAAGACTGGCTTCACTGTATTTCCAGTTCAGACGCAGAGTGCATCAGGGCTCTGGGCGTTCACCGGAGGGTAAGAAACTATGAGGAAGTGGTTAACAAATGTGCCTGGGGACAACACAAGTGTGTGCTGAGGGTGAGACCCAGGAGGACCGAGAGAGGGGGAGCTTGCATCTGAGATGAAGTACATGGGGGTGGCGACGGCCGCAAGGACCCCAGGAGGAAGAGGCTTCTCCAGAGTCAGGGCACGAGAGCTGAAATCACCCCACCTGCAGTCCTGTCCCCAGCACACAGTCTGTCATGGGACTTGATTAACTTGTGGTCTCTGGAGAAAAGTTATTATTTGGTACAAGCAAAAGGCAATGTTCCTTCATACATATTGGTGAATGTTGTTTCTGAAGGCAGAGAAGAGGGAGCATCTCTACTTGCTGGATGGGATGCTGCTTGATTCATGAATTACACAAGAAAGCCAATTCTAAGAAAGGCGGAGAAGATACCAAAAGCACAGGGCGTCGCTCAGAGTTGGGCTTCCTGTAGCAAAGCAGGGCACAAGTCCTCCTGTTGGACCGCAGGGCCCATTCTCCCTCCCACACCTGCCTGAGTGCTGGTCCCACCTGCTCTTCCTGGGTTGATGGGCTGATGCCCCCTTGTGCTGAGCCAATGGAAGCAGTGGCAGGATCCTGATTGGGGGGGGAGGGGGAGCAAGGAGAGTGCGGTCACGTGGGGGCGCCTGGGGTCCCTCTGGCCAGCGGGGGTGCACCTTGCAGGGCTGTGGTCAGGTTCACTGTGGCCTGTCACCTTCCTTTCGGATGGTGGGTTTGCCCCTATCAGTTGTGAGACCTGGGCCAGAGCCCTACCAGAGCCCCATGCCTTATGTCAAAATATTTAAGTTATCATAATCTGCCAAATAATCTCTCTCTGCCCAGAGAAGTATACCTTCCTAAAACAAAATTGAGAAATGTGTTTTTACACAAATGAAAGTCAGCAAAACAAAGACAACTGTATTGATTATTATTACATGAGCCTGGATGATCTGTTTTGGGGTGGCGATATTTGCAGGAGTTTTAAAGATATGTGGAATTCTTCAAGTATTACATATTTATGTTGTAAAATTTTTTTAACATCTCCCCGTAAAATCACTAAATATGTTATGATCATTATTCTCATATAATTTGTTTCGTATGGGTGGTAATGCCAAATTCGACCACCTTTCTTGGATCATTGTAGCTCTGAGGTAGTTTTGTTTATTAATTCCATCTGGAGAAACCCCTGTCGAGGCAGCAATCCATGCAACTCTTTTTTTTTTTTTTTTTGAAGATTTTATTTATTTATTTGACAGAGAGAGACACAGCGAGAGAGGGAACACAAGCAGGGGGAGTGGGAGAGGGAGAAGCAAGCCTCCCGCCGAGCAGGGAGCCTGACGCAGGGCCCAATCCCAGGACCCCAGGATCATGACCTGAGCCGAAGGCAGACGCCTAACGACTGAGCCACCCAGGCGCCCCTATCCGTACAATTCTTTTTTTTTTTTTAAAGATTTATTTATTCATTTGAGAGAGCGAGAATGAGAGAGAGTACATGAGAGGGGGGAGGGTCAGAGGGAGAAGCAGACTCCCCGCCGAGCAGGGAGCCCGATGCGGGACTCGATCCAGGGACTCCAGGATCATGACCTGAGCCGAAGGCAGTTGCTTAACCAACTGAGCCACCCAGGCGCCCCGTACAATTCTTAAAGCAATACTTAGATTTGGAAATGTCATGCATTTTACACAATATATGCACGGGCTGTGGTGGGGTCATATAACAAGTTATCCTTGTTACAGAAAATATTACAAAATGTTTAAATTTTATGATCTAAGTTGTCACCACTTACACCACGATTTTAACCACATTGTAAAGCAACTTTGGTAGCTTCCTTCATGCCTGATATGTCACATTCATATATATATGTTACATATACATGTATGTCGTTATGGATATGTAATAAGACTGGTTTAAAGTTCTGCAGTTGACTTTTGCAACTGTTAGAGCATGCTAGTCTGTATCTCTAGAATTATGAGATGGAACATGAAGAAAGAAAGTGGGTGTTTGATACAACTAGGAGACAGGTGTTACGCAAAAATCCATTGCATGCAAGTTATCTGAGGGAAAGATTTAACAAGTTAATTAGTCTTTTTGTTACTTAGGTGGCTTTTCTGCTCCTTCCCTTCATACAGGCCCATGCAAAGACAGTCTTCTGTGTCAACAGGCCACAACCACCACCCCTGGCATTGGGTCCAATCTGGGGGCCAGGCTTCTCTGGGCCCAGAAGGGTGTTACAGGCTCTGGATTGCACTGGGCCAGCCCTGGGTGTTAGAGTCCCACATGTTCGTGTGTCTTTTATAAATTCACTTGTATGTTTAGGTTCAAGACTTTCTAGAGCCTGGGGCCAGGGTGGGATCCCTAACTCTGGACGTGGTGTTGGTCACAGCCCGGCAGGCAGCCGATCTCCCCGCCTCTCTCTGAATTCTGGTAACTTAGCTGCTCTCTCTGGAGGTACAACAGCTGACTTTGCTGGAGTGGCCGTGGGCCCCCACTCTGTCTCAATAGCGTGTTCCTATACTCTGTAAGGGTTCCTTTCCTAAGCTCTCTGTTCCAATTGCCTGCATCTGAGAGAGCCATCTCTTTCCCATCAGGGTCTGCCCTGCTTCACGAGGGAACAAAGGCATGCGGGGTGTGAATTCGTCGTTGGCAAACATGCAGTAGACACAAAGGGTGAGGTGCTCAGTGGCTATTTGTCCTATCGATTGCTGAAAACTGCTGCAGGAGAGGAGAACCACAATGTAGGTTGGAAAATGTAGACTGGAAAAACTTTTTTCATTCCTGGACCTGAGATGCACGGGATAAAGTAAATCCCACCACTGCTGTGACACAAGCAAGCTGAAAATGCTCATGGTTTAAGACAATGAACATCAGTCCTTGATTGTACAACATCCCAGTGTGATGTTCCTGGTCCAAGGCACTCTGGGGCAGCTCCTCTTGTCCCTCCCGTACTCGGTGATTCAGGGACCCAGGCTCCTTCCATCCTGCAGCTTCACCTCCTCTAGTTCTGTGGGATCCTCTCCACTCACCTGGCAAATGGGGAAACAGCGTGGAAAATTGCATGACAGAGTTTTGCATTACTTCCTGTGGAGGTAATATACATCCTTTTCCCCACACTGCACAGGCCAGAGATCGGTTGTCTGACCCTGACGTGTCTGTGAGGCAGGCTAGGAAATGTGTTTAAGTGTGGGACCAGGATCAGGGTGAGACAGGTGAGGCACTCACCTCTGCTCAGAGCCTTAAGAGGACTCCAAAAAACTCAGTAGATTTTGGAAGTATTATTGATGAGTTTGCTTCCATTAAAGCCAGGAAGGTAAAATTATAACAAATTCTATTTGGGGTATAAATAAAATATTTAAACTTAAAATAGTTTTGAGAGTTTTAATGACCTACTTTTTAATGTTTCAATATTTTTTCAACTCTTGAATGTTCTGTTAAGAATTAACCATTAAGGGGCGCCTGGGTGGATCAGTTGGTTAAATGTCTGCCTTCAGCTCAGGTCATGATCTCAGGGTCCTGGGATTGAGCCCCAAGTAGGGCTCCCTGCTCAGTGGGGAGTCTGCTTCTCCCTCTCCCTCTGCCCCTCCCCACTGCTCAAAAACTCTCTCTCAAATAAATAAATAAAATCTTTTAAAAAGGCATTAAACATTAAAAACACATGAAACATGTACATAGGGGCCCACTTTTTGTGTGTCCCATAGGAAAAGGATCTAAGTTTTGAGGAACATACAACAGTCTCAATCCTCAAACTTTATTTTTTATTTCTTTTATTTTTTTCATTTTTCTTCTTTAATACCAAACGCCTTTAAGAAGGGACACTTCTCTCATACAGCTTTCCTTGTGCCCATTGGTGTTGTTACGACAGTGTTTTCCTTCTTGTTGCCAAGTAGTTTGTTACTTCCCTTTTAATTTCTTTTTGATCCAAGATTTAAGAGTGTGTCTCTTCCTTTCCGAGGACATGTAACTAAGACTTTTTGTCCCATTTAAAAAAGGAACGTTCTGGGGTGCCTGGGTGGCTCAGTCGTTGGGTGTCAGGGAAAGTTCTATCAAGCCATGATTCACACACCATACAATTCACTCATTTAAAGCATACAATTTGGGGTGTCTGGTGGCGGGTGTGCTGGCCAGGAAGTTTTCCTTCATTGGAGAATATCTTTCTTTCGCCTTCACTGCTAATGGGTGTTTTTGCTGGATAGAGGATTCTGGGTTGACGGCTCTTTCTTTGAACACTTGAAACGTAGTT